CAACTGCTCTTCACGGGTGCCGGAGTGGCAGAAAATAGCCCGAAAATGGCCCAAACAACAGCCAAGAACCAAATCATTTTTCTGGCCATTTTCGGGCTGTTTTCTAGACCATTTTCATGCCATTTTCAGTGCATTTGGGAGGGGGGGCAAAACGCCCCAAATAACGGCCTGAAAATGCCCCCCAAAATGCCCCCAAAACAGGCATATCTGTACTGGCCAGGTGGCCTTTCGGTTTCTGGTTCTCCGGCGCCTGCAAGCACGCGCATACAATCTGGCACATAAATTCGCCATCAGTGTTCTGGGACATGCCTAATTTCACACCTCGACGGTAACATATACATGATCCGTCTTGGCCGGCTGTTAGAAGCAGATGTGACTTTCTAGATTTTCTTTTCTTTCTTTTTGGTTGGGCTAAAACATCTGTTTCTTTGTAGGCCACCTCTGCCAAGGTCTAAACGACACAAAGTCACTTTTGATAAATTTGGAAGATTAGGCTGCTATCGTCTCCTCCGTATAAGGTCGCGGGAGGCTTCCACAAACAGCCTCGCTGATCTGAAATGTAATTTTCTTCTTGCCTGCTGGGGAGGTCTCCACCCTGGTGCAGAGCAACATGGGACCTGAAGTTCAACCTTGTCCTCCCGTGCTAATTAAAGAGAGACTCAACCTAGAATAATAGCAATAGCAGTAGACTTATATACCGCTTCATAGGGCTTTCAGCCCTCCCTAAGCGGTTTACAGAGAGTCAGCATATTGCCCCCAACAATCTNGATGTTACCTAGTTGGGTAATGAAATGCCTACAAGAAAACCGCCAAGCTCAGAGAGCACCAAGGACCCCACAGTCCTCTTCCTCCTCCCCACCTCCTCTTCCTCCTCCTCCTCTTCCTCCTCCTCGCCTCCTCTTCCTTCTGCTCCACAAACTCCACTCCCTTGTAGCCCTGATTACGTTACCTAGTTGGCTAATGAAACATCTGCATGAAAACCGCCAAGCTCAGAGAGCACCAAGGACCCCACAGTCCTCTTCCTCTTCCCCACCTCTTCTTCCTCCTCCTCCTCTTCCTCCTCACCTCCTCTTCCTTCTACTCCACAAACTCCACTCCCTTGTAGCACTGATGATGTTACCTAGTTGGGTAATGAAATGCCTACAAGAAAACCGCCAAGCTCAGAGAGCACCAAGGACCCCACAGTCCTCTTCCTCCCCCCTCCCCCTCCTCTTCCTCTCCTCCTCTTCCTCCTCCTCGCCTCCTCTTCCTTCTGCTCCACAAACTCCACTCCCTTGTAGCCCTGATTATGTTACCTAGTTGGGTAATGAAATGCCTACAAGAAAACCGCCAAGCTCAGAGAGCACCAAGGACCCCACAGTCCTCTTCCTCCCCCCTCCTCTTCCTCTTCCTCGCCTTCTCTTCCTCCTCCTCTTCCTCCTCCTCGCCTCCTCTTCCTTCTGCTCCACAAACTCCACTCCCTTGTAGCCCTGATTACGTTACCTAGTTGGGGAATGAAACGTCTGGAAGAAAACCACCAAGCTCAGGGAACATTAAGGACTCCACATTCCCCCTCTCCCTCCTCATCTTCCTCCCACTCCTCTTCTCCTTCTCCTTCTCCTGCTCCACTGCACAAACCTCACTCCCTTCTATAGTAGCACTGATAGTGCTACCGAGTTGGGTGATGAAACGTTTGTAAGAAAACCAAGCTGAAAGAGCACCAAGGACCCCAGATTAAATTAATGTTGAAAGATTACTCATGCCTTCGTACCTTGCACCGATTCAATGTGCTCTGGCTTCAAGCCTTGTGCTAAGCCATGTTGGGTTGCATAAACCAACATGGGGTGGGCTCCTTACTTACCTAGCTGCGCTAAAGTAAGGTTTGCAAACCGAGAAGCCGGTTTCAGGCAGCAGGGGGCGCTCAAGCCATGGAAAACCCCATTGTTGTGTGTGAACTAAGCCTAGATGTGCTGTTTCAAATACATGCTATGCCCACAATGTGTGAAGAGCTGGCATTGTGTAGCCTGCCGAGGAAGTCTATAGGACGAGTGACTTTTTCAGGCAAAGTAATTTGTGTTATTGTAATATGCCACATGCTTTCCCAAGGCATCGTATAGAATACGCAGGTCTTAGGCAGAATGACAAGGATTCTTTGGCAAAGTAGGAAAAGGGGGTCATGAAAAGGGTAAGGATTAGGATTAGGATTAGGATTAGGGTTAGGATTAGGGTTAAGGGTTACAGTTAGGATTAAAAGTTAGGAAGTATTAGGATTAGGATTAAGGTTGGGATTAGGGTTAGGATTAGGATTAATGGTTAGGATTAAGGGTTAAGGTTAAAAATTAGGAAGTGTTAGGTTTAGGATTAAGGTTAGGATTAGGGTTAGGATTAAGGTTAGGATTAGGGTTAGGATTTACGGGTAGGATTAATGGTTAGGATTAAAGGTTAGGGTTAGGATTAAAAATTAGGAAGTTTTAGGATTAGGATTAAGGATAGTATTAGGGTTAGGATTAAGGTTAGGATTAGGGCTAGGAGTAAAAGTTAGGAAGTGTTAGGATTAGGATTAAGGTTAGGATTAGGGTTAGGATTAAGGTTAGGATTAGGGTTAGGATTAGGGTTAGGATTAGGGTTAGGATTAGGGTTAGGATTAGGGTTAGGATTAGGGTTAGGATTAG